TGTTAATTTTTTGGTAGTGTTGTTCATTCCTTTGTTCTGCATGCCTTCTTGTGCTGAGTTTGTGTTTTTTTGTGCTATTTCTTGTCAGATTCTGTTTAGTTTTCATGTTTGCTTGTTGTGCTTGAAGTTCATTTTCATGGTAAGTTGTGAAGTATTAACTTTCTTTGGGGTTACTTTACATTCTATTAACTTTTCTCTCCACTTAAGAGAATCTATTATTGTATCCTGTAATCTACCTGACATCACCACCACCTGGATCTCTTTTCCTACATTTATCCCTTCTTTGACATTGACATTATTTTGATCTTTGGTTGATCTCTCAGCTCCTTTGAATTCGTTGTTGTAGTTTTGTTCTGTTTTGCTCTGCTATCTGTCGAGTGAGTTCCAGGTGGTTGTACCACGCCTCTCAATCTCTGGTTGTTGTCTATTCTCTTTGGTTTTCAGTCCAAAGAAGTCCTTTTAGGATGTTTTGAAGTGCTGGATTGGTTTTGACAAAATCTCTTAGATTCTGTTTATCCTGGAATGTTTTGATGGCACCACTGTATTTGACTGACAGTTTAGCTGGATAGATAATTCTTGGTTGGCAGTTTATTTCTTTTAGGGTTTTGTACATGTCTCCTCATTGCCTACTTGCCTGTATGGTTTCTGCTGAGAAGTCAGAGCTTAATCTGATTTGCTTGCCTTTGTAAATGACACTTCTCTTTTCCTTGGCCGCTTTTAGGATTCTCTCCTCGTCTTTGATTTTGGAGAGCTTGATTTTAATATGTCTTGGAGACTATCTTTCAGGGTCTAGCTTTCGTGGGGTATATTTGGCTTCTTGAATGTTCATCTTCTCATCTTTCAAGACGTTAGGCAAATTTTCTTCCAGAAGCTCTTCAACTATTTCCTTTGTGGGTTTCTCTGATTCTTCCTGTTCTGGAATGCCAATAATTCTTAAGTTGTTCCTCTTCATGTTATTCAGCATGAATCTTAGACTCTCTTCTGATTTTCTTATCCTTTTTTTCTGCTTGCTCTTCTATCCTAGCAGTATTGAGAAATTTGCCTTCCAGCTCGCTAGTTCTGGCTTCCATCTCTTCAATTCTGCTCCTTTCCCCTTTCCGTGCACTGTCCATTTTGGACATTTTATTATTAATCATCTGGACCTCTTTTTGCAGGCTTTGAATTGTTTCCAATGCTGTTCAATCTTGCTTGATTGTTCCTGTAGTACTTTCCTGACTTCTTTCTTGTTTCCCTCCACTTCTTTTTGGAGCATTTGAATTTGTTTCCATATCATTCTACTGAATGTTTCCATATCATC